CTACAGGGTTTGGAAAGGTATAGAAAAGTATGGAATTTGATATCAGTAATTTCCACGTCTGGAAAAGTATGGAAAAAAGAAAGAGTATGGAACAAATATTTGCATTTCCAGACTATTGCCCCTATTTAGTTTTTTCTATAATTGAAAATTAAGAATTTAATGAAAATAAATCTATCACACAAGATTTGTGTTTTTTATGGCAATTGTTTAGTGATTCTTTAGTGATTGTCAATTACGATAGAATGAATTCAAGGTGCACTTTTTCATTATGGAAAAATACAGGTTTTCTTAAGCATTTGGGTTTTCTTTTCATAATATTCTTAGCACCGTATTACAGAGCCTCTAAAAGTACCTTTGCAACAAAAAATAATAATATATATATATATATACAGACTTTCATGTGTGCGCACGAGAAACCATTAAACTTAGCATATATGACAATGCACACTGAGCCACCAATTGCGCCATCAGCCCATTTCGTGGTGTGGTTTCTTGGACGCCACAGAGTATGCGTTAAAGCAGATCTATGGTCTTGAAATATGACATACTGCCTCTACGAAAGCAACACCTTTTTACAGTACTCGTCTTTTTTATTGATCCTTGAACTTGCCAAATAAGACAATTTGCACACAGCCGTATTGTGCCATCAGCCCATTTCGTGTCATGGTTTTTCTGCCACCGCAGAGGATGCGTTAAATTGGATGTTACCCCTTGATATTAGAGGTACTACCCTGTAAGGAAAGCCAAATTTGAACAAGTAGATCTCTATTAATTAATGTGCATCCATGCTCTTGTTTTCTTACTAGTAAGATGGCAGTGATCCACAAAGGAAATAGCTTATAGTATATATTAAAATAGAAATTGTATTGCGTAAGCATGCAAAAAATTCCCTGATCTGTGCATGTGAATAGTTTCTCAAGGGCACAAGAAGTTTCTCTTGTGCATGCAAAAGTCGAGACCCTGATAAAAATACAAATATTTAATATGTATCTGTCTGTTCTGTCTGTATATCTGTCAAATTTCATTGTGTGCTGATCAAGTCAAAATCCGGAAGTTTCAATGTTCACTTTTCTAAGCTTTTCTATTTCAGAAGGCCAGCTGTGTAAACCAGCATTAGTTTGGAATAAAAAGCTCTCTGACAGAGTGTAAAGAAGCAATGATTAAACACAAACCCAGTCGGATGAGAGACTTTTGTGGGGCTGCGAGTCTCCAGCGGCTGTCTGATCCTGCGCCTCGCTCGGGGGGGAAAGCAGATTTAATTAAATCAGAATTAAAGAGCATTGTTATTTTGATTGAAGACACCCGGCTCCTTTCCCTCCACTCTCTCTCACCCGACTGTCCCGGATTCAAGCTGACGGGGTTTGTCGTTGAAGGTTTACTTGAGTACATAGCGTGCATCTGGTGATCTCCCGAGCACACACGCAAACACATGCAGGTCTTACTACATGTTTGAGGAATACAAGCGCCATCTTCTCTGCTGTAGATTGAGTCTAATTCTGTATTATTGGATAATGAGAAAAGCCTATACGACACACAGACTGGCACAATGTTAGAAGTTAATTAAATTTCGGTAGAGTGACAGAAAAGAACCTGACAGAACCTGAAGGCAGCATAAGAAACATCGGCTATGCAGAAACAATGGCACGTCTGTTTTTTCCAGGACCCGGCTACATGGCTTGAGAGAGGCCCTTCAGAACAGACAGACAGACAGAGAGAAAAAGAGGGATGGAAGGACAGTAATGAATAGTGTGTGTCCTGATAATTGCATTAATGATTATTAGGCAGAGCTCAGGGGAAGGTGATGAGAGAGAGAGAGAGAGAGAGAGAGAGAGAGAGGGAGAGTTTCTGTCAGCTAACTTTGACTAATGGCTGTTCACTCGGGGCCACTGCTTGGAATATTAATTTACAAAATAAACTTTAAGGAAGCAAAGAGGGAGAAAAGAGGAAAAGAAGGTCTGCGAAGAATTAATTTGTTTAACCCCTTGAAACAGGGCCTCATCCACTTTGGGAAAAAAAAACTTTTTATATCAATTTTACTGTAGCCTACATGTTTTACATATTTTAATTGCATGACATTATTGCAAGGCTACTTTAAAATGATAGCTTTTTAGGTTATATGCTTCTTATAATTTAAAGATGAGTTTTAATAATGAGCGTTATTTCTAGAACCACTAGATTCATTTGTCAAAATAATTGCTATTTTCAAACAAGGAAGTCAGATATACCCGGAGAAAGATAGTTCCCTTTCGAGAACGGTCACTTCGTATTGTTGTAGCATTCCCATAGACAGGTGCTCAGTTAGCACAGGTAATGTGCGTTTTTGAAATGTGCCATTTTGGATGCTCAGTTTTGGACTTAATTTATTTTTCCAATCACCGATTACTAATTGCAAATCGGCAAATATCACCACAAGACTGCATACAGCTAAGCTAGGGCTGCATGATTTGGGGAAAATGTCATATTGCTATTATTGAGGTCAATATTGCGATATACGATTGCGATATAATAAAAAAATTGTTTCATGAGTCAACTTGCTTGGTTCTAAAGCAAAATGCACACGTGTGTATAGTGATAATTCTGAAATGTGTATTTCTCAACTCAAACTAGCAACAAAAACTAAATGATTGATAACACAATGATCAATAAGCCATTGATGTCTGGATAAAAAATTAATTTAATTTTAATTTAAGTGAACTTCAAACAATCCTCACATAAACCCATAATAAATGTCATATTTACCTGTGCTCTTCCTGTCTAACAGGTAGGACATATACAGAAATTGAATAAAGTTATCAAACAGTCTGCGCTGCATAAATTATATGGACAAAAATCCTATTTAAAGCTACACAAGTTCTTTGGTCAAGAGCAGTGAGTGTTTTTCTCTGTTCCCTTTGTTCTTTGATTAACTTTACTGACAGAAAGCATTATTGGATGCTGGCCCTTTAACAGTTGGTGACAGAGACGCGGATCTCACACGCGCCTTATTCTCTCACAACTCTTTACGACCATCATAAGACTGCTCTTATGTTATGAAGACACTCGACATGATATGATATTTTGGCATAATTGTGTGTGTTATTGTTCGTTCACTTCAAGCGGAAAGAGAACTGTATTCTGGCGCGCGGTCTGTGCATGCGCATGATACTGGCGCGCGTCTTTCAGTCAGGACATTCACAGGCAGCGCGCTCTCTTTTGACTTGTCTCGCTGAATGGTTTAAAGCATTCATGAATAAGAGCGGGATCATGTAACACTAGCCAAAGCATGACAAAGAATAACAGATGCTGCGTTAACAGCCCTAATTTGTTTATTTCATATAAAATCGCAGTATTTTGCGTCATATAATCGCGATTACGATTGCGATATGATTAATCGTGCAGCACTAAGCTAAGCTCTACATTAGCGACTATTGTGAGTTTTTATTGTGAAATTGTGACTTTGTCAGAATACGCTTAGATGGCCAAAATATATATTTTTTTATTTTTATTTTTGCCAACAGAATGTAGCCTACCAGCAGGGGCTAAGGGCTAGGCTAACTAGCTAGACATGCTAAACATTTCCCCCCAAATTATCATGGTTCCAAAATTTCAGTAGTCGGTACCAATACCAGTTAAATTTACCAGTAAATATTTCAGCGTATTCTGACTAACTTACTTACTAGTATCTCTGATTGGCCGTTGCATTCATGTACTCAACAGATGTGATTGCGATTGGCTACAATGTTTAACGCTTGTAAAAACACGCTGTTAATAGAAACCTTTGTCACTCAGAGTGCGCTCAAACAAACACGTCTAGCAGCGCCTATCAGCGGGTACCGAATATTCCCGGTACTCTGTACTACCAGTAGCTTACTGCAGAAATGCTGGTGCCGGTAACTTTTTTTTTTTGTACTGTCTGATACCGTTAGTACCGCTACGTTTGAAAACCCTACCCTACCCAACAAACAAGTAGCTTACCGAAAAGGTATGCTATTTTATAATAGCAATATGATTTGTTAGTAGTGGAGCTATGTCCTGCCTAGCAGCACTGCATGCCATTGTAGGATAGGTGTTTACTCTGTGAATGCAGTGAGTTATCCGATAAAGACGATGGCCGCTTGATGGAAAAATGGCCGCTTGACGTCATAAAAACATCACATAAATGTCAGAGGACGATAAGCTGTTTAAACAAAGATTAGTGCCCTTTAAAAGATAGGCGTGTCAATGATCCACCTACTCACTCAAAATAAAGTGTTTTGATTGGTGTGCAGTTCGATTTTGACCTCTGCGTTGACACCAACATCTTTGACCCCACATACCAGGTGTCCCCTCAGATGGTGATAACAGCACCTCAACAACTTATCCCCTAAAACTCACACACTCACGCAGTGGAGAAAAAACACCCTGGTTAATGCCAGGTGGCTGTCGACTGAAGACATTTTTCACATAAATCAAACTGCCATTGGGCTTATCAATAACAAGTCAATTAGCAGGCGGAGAGAGCCGTGGATCTCTAGGGGTCAACGCTTGTTTGTTAGATGGACATCTGCAGCTCTGTTTGCTTCGCCATGACAACGGACCTACAGTTTCTCTCTGTTTTTCTGTCTCTTTCTCAGTTTGTCTCGTTCTTTTGTGAAGACCGAAGGCTCTGGCAGGCCTAACTACTGCTTTAAAGTGCAAATTTCACCCTGAAATTAAGATTCTGTTATTTACTCACCCTCATGTTGTTCCAAACCCATTTGACTTTTCCTTCATTAAAACACAAAAATTGCATGTACTTTTGTTTTTCCACCCGCTTCGAATGTTATCACTCGATTGAATGGGCGTTATCAGTGGTTATCAGCTCATAATTATGGGCCGGTAGGGGCCTGCTGCGCCTACTGGTAGGCTCAGAAGGCTGTTATCATCCATCCACATGGTTAATCACCGACAAATACAGGAGAAGACTCCAGCTCCAATCTCAGAGGAATCCAGCTCGCCGGTAATCGGAAGTCTACTGAATGACGCAGTTGCGATATTTGACGACGTTGCAATATTTCGCGCTTGATCTTTGATAAGGTAAGAACATTTAAATGATAAAAAACGAGCATTTAAACGGTAATTAATTAATCAATAAGGGAAAACAATACATAAAATGTGTTTTAATGTTGCGTGACATGAATAACGTTATGAGATAACCGTATTGTGATATTTCGCGCTTGATATTTTCAGGTAAGAACGTTTAAAATGATAAAACCGATCATTTATACTGTAATTAATTAGTCAATAATGGAAAACACTACATAAAATGTGTTTTAATGTTGCGTGACATGAGTGTTGACATGAGTTAAGCGTATTACGATTATTTTGTAAACGTGAAACAGGCTAACTTAGGCCCTATTACGTTATTAGCCTATCATTACGTTAACTTACTTGCTTTAATTGAGCATTAAAGTTGCTAAATACGCATGTTTTTACGCATGAAGCTACTGGGGAAATTTAGTTTCTAGTTAAACGTAAAGTTAGCCTGAAAAATTACTTTTTCCACATTGTAAAGCAGCCTTAGCCTATTGCTTAATATTGTATGCTCGTTGATGCTTCACTGAAGCCATAATAGGTCTAACCTTACTCTTATTGACATATCTATCTATGGCACAAAATACATATCCCTTATCTGCATCCCATGTTCACTGATGTGTTTCTATCTTTTAGGCTGTGATAAGTACAGTTTGCACTTTGCTTATGTAATAATTGCCAAATATTTTGATTTCAGAAATGGGAAAAACAGTGAAGACCACACGTTCCAGGAGCGTTAAGATTAAGGTGGTGAGGAGGGGTATCGTTGGCCCAGCAAAGGTTTCTTACCTTAGTCAAGGTCTTCCCCAGCCCAACTCCAAACAGACCAACCCGACTATTACATCTCAACCGGCTGAACCTGATGATGTGGCACCGAACTGTAGTTCATGTTCTGAGAGTGCATACAGTAAGGCAAAGAAGAGAGAGCTTCATGCCTGGGATGCAGTCAAGGATGACATGCTTAAGGTGTCGTTTGAATGTTCAGCACCAATCGCTACCCAGTGTGTTGTCTGCCTAGAACATGCTGATTACAGGTGCATTGAGTGCAGCACCACGGCAGTGTTTTGTGAGGGTTGTCTGAAGAGGACTCACAGAAATTCACTGCATCTTTCTGATAAGTGGAATGTAAGAACAATACCATGCAGTCATACATACAGACAACAAACTCACAGTAATTTAGATCAGATTTATTAGATAATTGTTCTTATTGAAGAATTGTTCTAGCATTATGTAGTATCAAGTGTCATGAGTAAGTAGTTTTAAAAAGATTGTTAGAGCTATCAATCTTTCTTACAGAATGTCTACTATGAGCCATCCTCCCTGGGGTTATTCCTATATTTACCTGAAAGCCATAGCACCCATGCTGTGTACACAAAGGACATGAAGGTCATTGTCAGCACAGGTTTGTCATTTTATATGATAAAGAATTTTAATGTATTTGATTTTCTTGACAAGTTAGGGAATTCGGTCCTATGTACATGTGTGCTAATGAGGTCCTATAAGGAATGAATCAAATTTGTTTTACAATTTTGTAAAAAAAAAAAAAGTTGTTTGCTGATATATGGTGTTATAGGTGACACACTCAAGTGATTTAGTTAATGCTGATATGGTAGTTTCTATAGTAGTACTTGGTTATGTTTATATATATTATTTATATATATATTTCCCTCTTTTTATTTGGCAGGACGGCTCTGCACCGTCACAGTCAATATGTGTGCATGTGAGCCAGAAACCTGCACTCTGCTCAGGTATGGTCTCTGGCCGGCAACAGCCGACAAGCCCCAGACAGCCTTCTCCATACCTCTGCTAGAGCTTTTTGTTTGTCTGTCACTGGAGTGTCAGGTTTCTGTTGAGGGTTTTTGCAACACCCTGCGCTGGAAAAATAACCTCACACTTGCAGAGGTCAGTTTAAAGTCTTGCCTGTGAATTGAACATTTCAGTTACTGTACTTTCATGGAAGACTGATTCCATATGGTTGTGAAAATTACACATTCTTCCTTGATTGAACTGCATCATTAATTATCACAACTTAAAGTAAACTTTTATGGAACCATCCAACATTTATGCAACCATTGTACATTTGCATGCAAAAGTGTTCTTAAAAGTTTTCTATCAAATAACAACTTCTGAGTGAACCACCATCACCAGATGTAAGTATACGAAACAGTAATGTTTTCACTGACTGCTGCTTATACCCTAGGTTAACACACTCTACAGAGCCCTGGTGGGAGAATCCATATCCCATTTTAGGCATCACCACTTCCGACAAAGAAGTTTGGTAGATATTTGCCCACAATTAGATGATGGGACCAAATGCCCAGCATGCCCAAAGGTTGGTTCTAGTTCCAGCGTGGTTCTTGTTTGATTAACCTGATTGCATTTTCCATGACCTAATGGCATTGAATTGATATCTGAAATTTTAGTTAATTTTTGTATAAAGTATAAAAAAATTGTAATAAAATAGTATTAGTATAAATGTATAAACCTGGTGCAGATAGGACAGAAACCAGGATTACTGTAAGTGTTTGTTTTACAGGCGGATGGGGACATGATTGTGACATTGGATGCCAACTTTGGCCTTGTGAGGAAGCAAAGCTCAGGTACAAGTGCGGTTGAGCCATTACACGGAACCCGCATGTTTGTTAATGAAAAGGATGTAGAGGAATACCTGCTATCACATCTTGACAGCTCAAAGCCTCACGAGGTTAGTCTTAGTTGCAGAATTTCATGGAGAATTTCATTCCATGAAAAATTAATGACATTTTTAATTAATCATTATTCCTCCCATGAATCTATGTTTTCCTTAAATCTTTAGGACTGCAGTAACTTCAAGGCTGGCAACGTGCTGAGGTCACAAAAACAAGCGAAGAAACTTGATGTTACAGGAGTGTTTGGAGCCTCTTGTCGTCATGAAATGCCCCTAATGTTTGTCAACATGAGCCAAGGAGAACGGTAAGTATATTCCACATTAGTGACATCTCTGACTATTAACCCAGTGTTCCAGAATGATAATTCCCCTGTTTGAATCTACCTATTAAAATATAATAAGCCATATTTAAATTTTTTTTTTTTTTTTAAGTCACCAAATATAAACCTTATGAAATGTATATTCCAAAACATTACAAAATTTTAACTTTACCACCATCCTATAATGTTCACTATGCTGGAGATTGTATAATTAATTTTGACACTTCCTCAGTATAAAGTGTCCTTATTCAAATTTGTGTTGAAATAGATTAGCCTATCCCCTGTATGTCATCGATGAGCTACTTCGAAGATGTGAGGACAAGAACATACACCTGCGAGTAGTCTATGACATTGCCTGTGTTGTTGCCTCACATTTGCATGTAAGTACTTTTTTGTGTAAAACTGAATTGTTGTTTTGAGAAAAGACCTTGACACATTTACTTAAAATTATTCCATACTGTGTTCAAACAGAAATCAGGGGAGGGAATACCACACAACATCTCTTTGGCCGTACCAGCATTTCACGTTTATGGACACAAATTGCCCTGCCAGGTAATTTATTGACTTTATAGAGACATCAGGACTTGTCACACATCATTCACTCCCTGTTTGCCCTCCATTTTCCTGTCTATCAACTGCACAGCTGAAATTAAGTAGATGTGCCTAAAAGTAATCTTTATTCTGGCATTTTTCCCAACTGGTGATTGTCTAAACTTGTTTCAGAGATGCATTGTTGGACAATACAGTGGAAACTGCTTCTCACATCTGTCTGGGCCAAATCACTATAAGCGGATGATTATTATAACCAAATTTGTTTTCTTTGGGTTTATGCAGATTTCTATCTAATTTTTTATAATTATTACATTCATATAAAGTTATAACATGAACAGCTTCTCTATTTTTTCTGACTTAAAGGGATACTCCACCGTTTTTTCATATTAAACTGTTATTTCCTTAACCAAGACGAGTTGATACATAGCTCTCTCGTCTCAGTGCGTGCGCTCAATCACTCTGGCGTGCGAGACACTTTGAGTCCAGTTCATTCATTAGGATCCTAACAGAGATGAAGTTAGAAGTGACCAAACTCCACGCCACGTTTTATTTTGTGTCACCATACTTGGTTGTGTAACTACTCGTGTAACTGTATTTAAATAGGGAAAACGTGGCGGTGTTTGGTCGCTTCTAACCTCATCTCTGTTTGGCCCTAATCAATGAATGAACTGGACTCAAAGTGTCACCACACGCCAGACAGATTGAGCGCACGCACTGAGACGAGAGAGCTATGTATCAACTAGTCTTAGTTAAAGAAATAACAGTTTAATATGAACAAATGGTGGAGTGTTCCTTTAAAGATAAATAATCTAAGCTACACCTAGGCCCTCTCCTGCTCCAAGCCCTGTCTGAATGGTCAAGGTGAAAGCATTACACTCCACTCAAACATCACAACTGCGCACAGCAAGCGTATGTACTCACACACAATATGAAGATACTATGTGGACTACTTGAATGTAGTCTACAGGAATGATTCTGTCCCAAGCTTTTGAATCCATATAAGTGGTTGATAACTGTAACCGTTATCACTATAAGCAGTTTACAGTTTAAGTAGGATCATGCTCAGTGTCAGCATCTGTGATATTCTACCACTTTGCTTTAATCACAGATCAAGTACAGCACTAGGCGACTCGATGGGTTTGGGCTCACAGACGGGGAAGGAATGGAAAGGCTGTGGTCTTTTCTCCGAAGATTTGCCAGAGTCACAAAGGAAATGACTCCATCTCACCGCCTTGACCTGTTGACTGATGCCCTTTTGCATTATGGACGGAGGAAATCAACTGACCTAGGTTTGTCCACTGCTGCATAACCTGTCAAAATTCTGTGCTGGTGGTTCACTGTTTATACATTTTATGTCTTCTGGAGTGAAGCTGATCACTCACAAATTGTTCAGCATAAGTAAATGTAACTGTCTTTGCAGAGATGCAGCTCCTGCAAAGACTAGACAGAGCAGAGAAAATATCAATTCTCGCTCAAGAAGACATCTCATCTGTCATCAGAGAGGCACCAGGTAAACAATGCACATAAGAAGCAGGTAACAATAGTTGTAAACTGGAGAATTTTAGATTCTGTTTACAAGCGCATTTTGCATGGAGTATGTAGTATTGATGTTGTCTTGTTTTCTGTTATTTTTGTTGTCTAGTGTTGGTTTCTGAGGGAGACATGGAGAAATGGAAAAAAAGGGAGATGGAGCTAGCCCAGCAGAAACAGAAACCAATAAGTAAGCAGCTGAAGTGAATGGGTGAATGTCTTGAATACGGTGAAGGTCATGCATATTATTAGCAAAGAATATTGCAAATATGTTATACTTACCTTTCCGTGTACGGTAATGAAATACAATCCTGTAAGCTATGTGAAGTTACATGAAATTAAACAATTAATTAAAGCAGTAGTAATGTCTTTATCTGTTCTTCAGACACTGTCTGTAGATGGAAAAGGGACTACATAATCAAGCTGATTCAGTTCTACAAGTTCAAGTAAGAGTTTAATGTGTTTATGTAAGACTATATGGTAATTACAGCTGTCTTAATAAGTGCCCTGCTGATGTGCTTCAATATGGAAGCCTAGGTGTGATTACAGTAACAGCATAGTTTTGAAGGAAACTGTTACAATGGTTATAAATTAAGAGTTGCTATAATACTGCAGTAATTGAATATGGTGGGATTATTAATCAATTATCACCAAGGCCTCCCTTATAACGTATACACTCTTTGGTCAGGGGTGTACCACAGTAATGCTTTCTACCTTGTCCCTAATGCATTTTTGTGCTGTGTTTTTATTTTTATGTATAGATCTGGGACTCATGAGTCATCCATGGAGTGTGAAACAGAGTAAGCAAGCCGTAATCGGTCAATGTTCTCTAAGCAAGTGTGTAAATAACAAATAATAACATTTATTTTCTGACCGTTGTAGAATTGAGGACTCTCTGCTGAACATAGAGAAAAAACACCGGATTGGGAGAAGATGGCAAGAATCCGATTCAGACTTCCAGTCTACCCTTAAAGATGTTGACAGTGAGCTCAGAGGGCAACTAATCTTCAAAGCTAGAACCGAATCAAGGGAGAGAGCAGTCCTCCTCCATCTGAAAAGAAAATACCCAGGTAAAGTGCTGTGGATACGTAGATACATTCAGATATTAAGTTCAACTTTGAAAAGGACAATAATACAAACTAATAAATGAATTTCTCTGCATGTGTGTTTCCTAACTTTGCTACAGACGGGCAGGGCATTGCCATTAGACTTTCTAAGCAGATTGCCAGTTCCAACAAGAGACTGAGGCAGGCAATAAATGAATACAACCGGATTCAGTGGCCACCGCAGATGAGTATCTTCCCTACAATAATCGATTTTCAGGAAGCATGCGATCCCTCTTGGCAAGTCTACTTCTGCTTTGATGATACTGTAAGTATAATTACCTAACCCTAGTAACCACACAGCAGTCACTCTAGAAACAATCTGACAACCACTACCTGCAAATCAGTTTTGAAACCACCTGGTAACATGACAGCTTTTTAAAATTTATTTTATCTTTCAGATTGAAGAAGATAATGTTTCGAGGAGTCTTAAAAGGCGAGGGATTGATGCCATACATATGAAGACTCGGGCAGCTGAGGAAAAGCGCATGCTTTACCAGGAAATGAGAACAATAACTGAACACCTCCATCAGCAGCATGCCTTTCTGTGCTCTGCCATTAAAGACACAGATCAGCCTGGTGCAAAAGCTGCTCTCACCCAGCGACTCCATCAGCTGGAAAGAAAACGTTATCAAGCCACTGTGATGTTTCATACACATGTACAAGACATTGTCCCTGTAGACAACCCCTACTTGTGTCAGGCGGAGGGCATACAGACACTAGTGTACAATGATGATGGTGATGATGATAATGAGGATGACACTGAGGATGACCATGATAACTAGGAATGGTACTGGTATGACAGGACAGGGCCTGTATTTACAAAGCTCACAAAGATGTGTTTTACTAGGTCTGATCTATTTTAAAGCTTAGGTACTGTATTAAGCACATATCGACACTAGTATGTGAGTACAAAATTGTGTTTACCACTTGTGATATGACTTATTCATTGTAATGTACAAATGTGGTCATGTGTGAGAGTTTGTTTTCTTGTTGAAATGAGTTGAAATGACAATAAATTCATACTGAGTTGAAATGACAATAAAGTATTGAATCTTGAATCCTCTGAATCAACTTTAAGTTTGTCAAAAATAAAAGGGAACATACAGAAGTATTGACTCTACAATACACCTTTCCCATAATGAGTTAGCCATGTTTTCAACCATTGTCATAGCACTTATTCACAGCACACATAAATTAAATAAAAAGTAATTTACTTAATAAAATGACATAGAATGATTTTACAGTCATAATCAACATAATCTTCTAACATAACGGTACAGTAGGTTCTTTTCTTCTTACAATGGACTGCTTTAATAGTATTTTCACATTCTTTGTTCAGTGAATGTAGGCCTACATTACATTTAGTTTTATCTTGCATTTAGTTGCTATGGTGGTTGCTATTGATGCCGCTAATTAGCTGAAACTCTCTATGCTGAAACCACGCAGCTTGCATGACGTACTTCCGCAATTTAAAATTTAAAATTATTTTATTAACAGACAATTAAAAAAAAAAAAATTCAACATTTGTCCACAGAGAAAACACAACTTGATAACTCAACAAATACGATATGTTCATGTTAAGGTTAACAGTTTTAACAAATAATCCTTCGATTCTGAGAAGTGCATCCGACACGGAAGTGCATTGTGTTGTGGGCGGGCTTTACGGGTTCTCCTGTTTCGGCTAATATCTCTTAAATAAACCAACATATTTACATTTTCTTAACGTAGATCATCTAGATGCAGTGTAATTGATCGTTTGGCTATACTATATATTTGATATATGCAGTAGATATATGTTTTTACAACCCTAATTTACAACCCTACTTTGCAAACCAGAAAAACTACAACTGCAGTGCCGATTTGTATCAAGCTGCATTGTGTAGCTATAGGGAATTGTAGTTTTTAAAATATAAGTGTTTATCTTAGAATGGGAGGTTGTAAATAGTTAGTTGAGAGTACAGTGAGGAGTTTAGGGGGATTGTAAACACATCTATGTAATCAGATTTTAAATGAAAATAATTTTTACATTTTTAAATAGGTTAAAATTATTTTTAACCATAATTGAAATTGTTCCAAATAATTTTCTAGATTCACATGATAACTAAGGACAAGAGCTCTCTATAACAGTTGGTCCCATGTCGATAGCCCCTTTCATTGCTTAATTATAAGCATTCAAACATGCACCAAGGTCATGTTTCAAAGGTCAGTATTTCAAAACAGGGGTCATGTAGAATCGTAATACTTACATATGTTACTCTCTAGGTCAAGACCTTTCTAACGATGTATTGGTTTAGCTCTATAACAAAGTTTAAATTTTCTCATTTCACATACACAAGCCATCCCTGGTGTAGTTTTAGAGAGCACTTTGAAAGCTCAATAGGAGTTGCCTATATGAAGCTTTTTGTTTGTTTGTTTGTTACTCTGTAAACAGATTTACAACCTCACAACATGAGGAATATCAGGTATACACACACACATACACTGCATTTATGTTTGGGTTTGGGACACACATGGCTTATGCTTTCTTTTTATGTTAATGATGTTATGATGGTTCAATACCATTAATAAATAAGACCATCATCTACACGATGGGTAGTCATCTCCTCTTAGGCTACTTGTACACTATTATTATTCCTATTGATAGTCAAATACAAGAGTAGCCTACATTATAAATTGGCCCTTCCGCCAAATAGGTGACATTTGCTTGCTGTATCTCTTGAAAATTTAGCATCTTTTTTTAACACAGAATCTAATACTACACATATTTACCTATTCAAAATGTGTATTGGTCACTCTCAGGCAACTTAAGTTATTACCCATTGTCCAAGCAGAAGATGGATGCATGTTTTCTCAGTCCATGTTACCAAAACTCATGTGCCATTTGAAAAGCATGTCAATTCATTTTTTTTATCTTCACTTCAAGAAAGTTTTTTTTTTTTTTTTTTAAGAAATGGTTGGTTATGTGTTCAAGATATTGATATTCGTGACTAAAATATAATATCATAGTGACCGGCAGTACTTTGAATTGAAATGTAGTCTATCCATGGCAGACAACTCTAAACAGAAGTGGAACCCCCTTGCATAAACTGACAATAAACTTTATTTCTCAGAATCCAAGGAAACAATTAATATCTATATTATTAGTTTGTAATATGAACACAGATAAAAATACCCTTCACATTTAATCTTAAATGTTAATCATTAAAAGAAAAGCATAACACGGTGAGTGTGAAAATACTTCCGAGGGGAACTACGTCTTTCGAACTAGGTGGCTTCAGTGATACCAGCGTCCATTATATTTAAATTTTAAAACATTAATTGTATTATGGAGAGGTTCTTACAAAAACCAGGCCCTACTTAACCAATGATGAAACAGATTTATATATAAAAAACATGTAGACTCAATTCAGTACAATAGAACTTTATTTGACCACATTGATGGTGCCAACAAACGACAACAATAAAGACAAATTGGGGTGAATGAAAACAACAAAAAGATCAGTTTTCATACAGGTTCATCAAGTGTATAAAAAAGTATGTAAAAAAGGTGCACATGTATGTATGTATTATGTGAGTGTGTGTGTATATTTGTAGGGATGGTTTGGGGGCCGTCAACACAGTAAAATCAACTAGTAACAAGATACATTTTGGAATGCAGAGGTTCAGGGTGTTTGCGTGCTGTTTTGACTCTGGCAGGGAAGGCACAAGTTCTTTTTAAAACCACATGCAGTGTGTGACCATGATTGGCACACTGTGCACTGTGACCATGAACGCCACTTCTTTCTTGCGTTCTTATTCTTGTCGTCAAAATGGATGCGGCAGACACAGCACACATTGTCTCCATCTACCAAAGGAAAAACACAAATATTTTGGAAGTCAAGCCAGTTAGTTGAAATACTCATCACCATATTCAAAGCAACATATAAAATGCAGCTTATTCATTTGTAACTGTTGCCAAATGCAAATGTGGATATTGCACATCAATTAATCTCAGATATTGCTAATGCTCATACATGTAAAGAAATGTACTGGACAACACCCTTTGCACTTTTGAGATGTTTTTATACGTTACTGCATGTTCTGCCTGGAATCTGCCCATTGAAATACTTAAAAGTGAATCTAGTTAAATGCTGTTATATCCTAAATGAAAGGATTGGAGGCTAATTTGTCACAGTATAATGTTTTTTTTTTCCACATTTTAAAATGTTTTAGTCTATTATTCTGTTTCCATATCTGTTCTTATTGTAGTATTGTAATCTGTTGAAACTGCTTGTTTATATCCAGGCTGCTGCTAGTCTTGGCCAGGTCTACTATGAGGAAGAGCTCATTTGTTATATTTTGTAACTTGTTAAAGGAGTAGTTCACTTTTAAAAGAACGTTTGCTGATAATTTACTCTCCCCCATGTCATCCAAGATGTCCATGTCTGTCTTTCTTCATTCGAAAAGAAATTAAGGTTTTTGATGAAAACATACCAGGATTTTCTCCATATAATGGACTTCAACAGGACCCAAACGGTTCAAGGTCCAAATGAGAGTTTCAGTGCAAACTGTTCAAAGGGCTTTAAACGACACCAGACGATGAATAAGGGTCTTATGTAGGACCCTTCGAGTCATGACTCGAAAAAAATATGTTCATTTTGATGAACGAGTTTGAACAGGAGAGTCACAAACACGCATCACAGAACAGAGCAAGGCGAGCATTTGTGCTTATAAAACTAAAACTTTGTTATTTATTTTTGAAATGGCCGATCGTTTCGCTAGATAAGACCCTTATTCATCGTCTGGTCTCGTTTAAAGCCCTTTGAAGCTGCACTGAAACTCTCATTTAGACCTTGAACCATTTGGTTCCCACTGAAGTCCATTATATGGAGAAAATCCTGGATGTTTTCATCAAAAACCTTCATTTCTTTTCAACTGAAGAAAGAAAGACGTGGACATCTTGGATGACATGGGGGTGAGTAAATTATCAGCAAAAGTTTTTTCAAAAGTGAACTACTCCTTTAAGGCAATATATATGGTATAACAGTCACTTCCTGTTATATAAAAATAACCACAATGTGGAAAGATACCTTTATCTGCAGTCATCACGATGGCTACAGTAGTGGCTGTTTCTGCGGACTCTTCCATCTGCTGTGCACCTAAAGTACATAAAACAAAACACAATAATAACTTTCTAAATACATTTTTTTTTATCTTAATTACAAATTCATAATTCAAATTGTCGGCATTTATACTGTGTCAATAGATAATTAGTAAATCATTGATTAAAAAAAAGTTCTATTATTTGCATTTAAATCTCAACAGCCAATTCAAAATGTAAAATTATCAGAATACCAACCTTATATATGCTGTTTAATGTCACCTGGATAAATATTGTATCCATAAATTGTAATTTTCAAACAAGTGAGCTTTTCTCTTTGTGTAAAATGTCAATGGAAGACTAAGACAGTAGTTTTAATTAAGCTTGAACTTAAGCAATAACAAAAACTGATTTGTAACATTTGGTAAAATGTATTACGATTACATGAAATACCATTTTCACACATGGCCTCTAAAATTTCCTCCACCGACTTCGTCTGGATCCCATCCGCTGTGTCTGTTGATTTGAAAAGATTAAACCATCACACAAAGGTGAACATTTCATCTATTGATTAATTGTATTATTTCAATAATGTGTACAGTAGTCAAATGTGCTGTGTAATGACCAGTTACATATCTAGTTAATAATGCCTCAAAAGTTTTATGTAAAATATTTATTTAAAGATAAAATAAAAACAGCTCGGCGTACCTTCTGCATCCATGTGTTCTGACATCTCCTCTCCCAAGTCAGTGGGGTTGCATTGTGCTGCATCTGATTGATATATTTAGAAAAAAAAGAAAGACAGAAAAAACCCTTATTTAGCATGACCTTAACAAATAATTGGCCTTCCTGCAATAGTACTGGAGAAAAATAATGAATCACACAGCAGTGAATATATCAATGAAGGAATGTAATTCGAAGGAATTATATACATAGAATTGAATTAGTGAATAGTTTGATGAGCATAAAAAAAGTGAAAACCATTGCCAAGGGCCACAGTCACTAGTCATATTTAACTAAACATCTATAGGATATTTAGGATAATGACGAAACTGAGATACTGTCACATCCCTTACAAACTGTCAAAGACACATACAGAATCTATAACCTGAATCTGTTTCAATAAAATTTAATTTACATAGCATCAATTCATAACAAAAGTTCTCTCACAGCACTTTACAAACAGAGTAGGTCTAGACCATACTCTTTATAATATTGTTAACAAATACCCAACAATTCCCACCAAGAACAAGCACTACTGTAGGTGACGGAGGCAAGGAAAAACTTCTTTATAAAGGGGTCATATGATGGTTCTAAAAAATAACATTATTTTGTGTATTTGGTTTAATGCAATGCGTTTATGCAGTTTTAGGTTAAGAAAAGCCATTATTTTACACATACTGTACATTATTGTTGCTCGCTATGCCACTCCTTTCTGAAACATGTCAAATTTGTATAAAGCTCATCATTCCGAAAAGCATGGTGTGCTCTGATTGGCCAGAAATCCAGTCCATTGTGATTGGCCCAAATACCTTAAGCGCCTGATGGAAATATCGTGCTTAATACCATATCTGGAACATCAGCTTTGTTATCGTTGAAATGACAAAGACGTAGTCTGAGCTCTCCCAGGTGCTATAAACAGTCCTTCGGAAATGCGCAGCACACAGTCGAATATTTGGGTTGTACTGGAACAGTGTTGTAAATAAAGCTTTGCCACTGTTTTCTAACTGTGTCCTCTTTTGGAGAGCCAAACAAAGTAGTTGGACTTTCGCAACGAAAAACACAGCGTCTCCACGACATGCCGGCACGGATAAGTTATGCCTTCTTTGTGTATACATTTGGGTGGTGTTATGGAACTCTGCCCCCACATACTGACGTAGAGATTGAGTGTTTTGAGTGGAGATTGAGTGGGGGAAGTGTTTTAAGAAGGTGTGGCTGAGCCTTCACTTTTACAAAGAGTATCTCTTAAGGTTTGAGACTGATCTTTGTAACGCTACAGATCTTATACATGCACAAACAGCTACATAACATACTAAAGAGAAAGAAAAACAAAAAAAATCTAAGAGGCAGATACGTCAGAACCATGGCTCAGGGTGTGCGGCCATCTGGCTTGACCGGTTGCGGTGAAGGGACAGAGAGAGATGCAACGCCCCAAAATTCTACAAAGACTTACATGTAGGCCTGTATTATTCTTTAGTTAACTTATTTTCTCCACTTTGCATAGAGCCAAATGGTCTGCTAAAACACAAGTGGAGAAAGACACTGGTAATGGTAATGTCACTTACTTATTTCAAATGAAATCTCCTCTGCAGCTTTCAAAATTTCGACCAATTGGTTCCTTCCATAAAAGGAAGGCTTCCTGAGGGTAAGGCTTGTGGGCAGTCCAGCTACATTAATGGTCATGCTCTGATTTACCAGGGACTGGTAGGGGAGCCTCCCAGTACCTCCGGCTTCCTCTGAAATACACAAGCACACACATGCATGCACACGTTACACAATGTTACACAGTTGGACAATTGTGACTCTCCCCTCTAGTTGATAGCCAGTGTACAGGCTGCAAACAGACATTTTGGTAAGGTGTCAATCTAATGGTTGATGGGCACATTAGATAATTTAAATCATTTGATAATAATGCCATGGGTTCATGAAGGTATTAAAATTATTTGAAGTTATGCTTACTATATTTTTGGTTGAATAGATCTTGCACTTTTCCTACCAGAACACTGACATGTTCTCTGGTACTGGGTGTTGCGGGTGAGGAGCTGGCTACAGATGTAACAGACAACAATTATTTCATAAAACTGTATGATGTATATTTTCACTATTACAGGCCTGAGTCAATTTCTGTGGATTTGTATATAACCAATACCTTTGAAATGCAGTGCAAAGTTGTTCACTGTCTCTGTTGAATCAAGGAAATCAGTGGCTCCTTTGCTGCTCAGTTCAAACACCTCTAATGTGGACTTTTGGCGGTCAAATGATAAAATGGCTGTTTCCACACCCAAATCCTCAAGCTTGGACACCTTTACAATATTTAGAAGAAGACAACCACAAAAATAGTAAATACTTGATTATACACAAAACCTACTTTTAAAAATTCAACACACACTGAAGAAACAACTCATAACAGGGCTTGACAATATATGAAAACAGTGTTGTCACATGTGCCAAATATGTGGTCAAACACCACCCAGGGTTACATTAACTATAAATTAGTTGTTTACATAGAGTCCAAATGCAATCTTTTTTTCTCACAGTCATTTGTGACTCCTAATGCTTCAATTGACCACCTTGATGTGAATAGACTAGCCCAACCAGTAGGAATTTAGTTTGAGAGGGTAGTATAAGCCTTTGACAATTTCTTCAAAGTGAGAATTTTTGATGTTGATAGCCATGTAAACAACAATCTGCTGGAATATTTATTTGGGATGAATTCATTTGAAATTATGAAAAAAATCTACAGATCAACAATCCAGTTGTCTGTCACAATGTTCTGCTCACATCACAATTGCTGTCGATCATCCTTCCATCTAATACTATAATAATACCACAAGCCTAGCAAATGAAGCCATTTTCCAAACCTCTAACTTCAGCTTCTTAAGGTGCATTTTAATTCGGGCATCCCTCATCTCAGGGCTAAGGTCCTGTATCTGCCCATGTGCCCTCAGTGCTGCTGCCTCTTGAAAGTATTTTTGCTTTTCATCTTCACTCAATGAGGCCCACCTGCCTTTAATGTCATTCATTGTGCCTGAGGAAAAAATAGATGCACAGAAAACTTCACACTTTAGATTCAGCCTCCCTTTTTTTAAGTAAATTCATACAACGAAAATCTGTCCAACACACTGGTTTACTTGGGTTGTGAAACCCATTTCTCTGTAACAACTCTGTAAAAACAAGATAACATGTAAAGTAGATAACCTGATGATTCTTTTCAATACACACAGCAGTCTTACGTTGATGAATGCAACTTGTGTGAGTGAAGTACTTGCCAAATACTATCTTGAAAATCTGTTTCATGTCCCTTGTAAACCCCTGATGTCAACAGGGCCACATGTACAAACAAACCATTTAGTATAACAATTAAAAGCAGCCATTACATTTTGTCTCTCACCTTTGTTTTTGAATATGTCCCTACAAAAAAGATTGTAAGGCGACAGCTCTCTGATATGAACTTTGGCCTTTGATTGCCGGGGTTCAGACGAAGCTCTTGTAATTTGTGATCTTTTGTAATTACCGATCCAGTTCTGAAAAACGAAAACAAAAAATAATGAAAGAGTATTACACAAATTAAACTGAATGTTAACAAAACACTTCATTTATACAAGCAGTGCAGCAGAATGATATATTTATTTGACATGTTGTTTGTTAGTGTGGCACTAAAGTGAAACTTACTTCTATGACAGTGGTGTCCAAACCAGTAGCAGATGCAGCTCTTGGAATTAATTCTGACCCAACTCGTGTCATTCCATCCTTAAAAAAGGATTTCAGGGTTTCCTTTTGATTCCCATTAATGGGAGTTCTCTCTTGTTGAATAACAACAAAGAAAGAAAAAGCTAGTCAGTAATAAATCAGTAATAAAAAACACAGTGTTGCAGATCATACCATCGCTCTCAGACACACTTGCCTAATGCTTCTAGATTAGCAACTGCAAGGCTTACCTCTCTGGGCCATCTTCAACCTAAAACATAAACAGAAAAAAATTGCACAAGACAGATTTGTGAACGGGCCCTTCTCTCTAAAAAGGCCCAAACCAAAATTTTGTATTGTTCAAAGACAGAGCATGGAAGTAATAAAGCAAACTTACCACATAAGTCCTTGCAATCCACTGGCCACTGATGCTGTAACTTAACTGTAAAGGGAGAGAAAAAGTTAGGTAAATAGATATTAATGTTACACAGGCAGGAAGACAGATAGATAAATAGATATTTTTTTTCAAGTTCAATGTCAAGGAGAGCAATAAATGACACACACACAGACACCACAGTCTATATTTACTTCTAGTAGATTGCCAGTCACGTTATTCGTCTTTTGCATGAATGTAATTGTAAGCTTCCTCGTGTGGGATCAAATCCATCCAAGCTTTTTTCAACCCCCCAAAACTTTTTTACATTATAGTCAAGATCCCAAGGTTCCCAAACAGTCATAAAATACGTCATGGGTTTGAATATTTCACTCAAGTCAAGAGTAAGGTTAGGCCTGGGCGTTAACGGGCGTACAATTTTTTTGCAATAGGCATATTACATAATATAGGCATAATTACAGTGTGGAAAAAGTAATTTTTCAGGCTAACTTTACGTTTAACTAGAAACTAAATTTCCCCAGTAGCTTCATGCGTATTTAGCAACTTTAATGCTCAATTAAAGCAAGTAAGTTAACGTAATGATAGGCTAATAACGTAATAACGTAATAGGGCCTAAGTTAGCCTGTTTCACGTTTACAAAATAATCGTAATACGCTTAACTCATGTCAACACTCATGTCACGCAACATTAAAACACATTTTATGTAGTGTTTTCCATTATTGACTAATTAATTACAGTATAAATGATCGGTTTTATCATTTTAAACGTTCTTACCTGAAAATATCAAGCGCGAAATATCACAATACGGTTATCTCATAACGTTATTCATGTCACGCAACATTAAAACACATTTTATGTATTGTTTTCCCTTATTGATTAATTAATTACCGTTTAAATGCTCGTTTTTTATCATTTAAATGTTCTTACCTTATCAAAGATCAAGCGCGAAATATTGCAACGTCGTCAAATATCGCAACTGCGTCATTCAGTAGACTTCCGATTACCGGCGAGCTGGATTCCTCTGAGATTGGAGCTGGAGTCTTCTCCTGTATTTGTCGGTGATTAACCATGTGGATGGATGATAACAGCCTTCTGAGCCTACCAGTAGGCGCAGCAGGCCCCTACCGGCCCATAATTATGAGCTGATAACCACTGATAACGCCCATTCAATCGAGTGATAACATTCGAAGCGGGTGGTTTTTCTCACCTTTTTTGTTTAATAGTGTGAATCACCTTCCAATTTCATTGTACAGGAAAGAGCAGCTTGGGCATTTAGCAAAATACCTCTTTTGTAGCCTATTCTTCAAAAGAAAGAATGTCATACAGGTTTGGAACAACATGAGGGTGAGCAAATGATGACAGATTATATCAATAAACATGCACACATGTGACCTTTATCGTGATCAATCCATTTTTTCCCCCAATGTTTTCAAATGTTTTTCAAGCCCTCAAGGAATCTTTGTGAAGGATGAAGGAGCACTTGTAAAAACTGGTATTTTCAATGACCTTTCTAATTTTCCTCAGTTTATAGACTTGGCTATTATAATTTGGCCGAAAGCAAAATCTTTTGCATAAAAATGACTTTCCGTCCCTTTATTACTCACAATAATGAGGCTTTATTTATTTCCTCTGTTTTTTTTTTCTTTTCTCTTTGTCTGTTCGTCTATTTAACTGTATTAAAATAATGTGAATTTAAATAATTATTTATTTTTCATATTAATGGGTGTAGTAATATCTGGGTCATAATATGTTTGTTGTTATAAATATTAACACAGAGTCAGTGATTTTTTATGCATTTATATATAGGGTACAAATAGCAACCATGTTGTAGAATGACCTATGATTTATGATGTTTTCTCTTGTTTATTTATGATGTTTTCTCTTTGTTTGGTTTGCAGAAGTTGTGACTCTCAGATGAGACAGGCCACCCAATGCTTGCAGACACTCTGTGACTATTTAATGACTAGTCTGTCTGAAGTCCTGACAGAATAGCACCCCAGAAATGCACAGGACCAAGTACATCATAACTCTTCTGCAAATACACCCTTGCTTTATTTATCAACGAATAAATCCATTTAATTCATACTTGCTAATGACACCAACACAGTTCATAATGGGACTGCAACAAGGCCCACGTGTAGAGTTAATGTTCATTATATCCTAGTTTCCCCTACTATGGATAATTTGTTTATAAAGTCAACAAAAAATAACCATGTCTCAGCGGGATTCTGAAACTGTGAAATGCAATTGGACTATACCCTATATTTGCTATACTTTTCCAACTTTTGAATATACCATAAAGGAGATTTTAGTCAGCTCTCTTTTAAATGTATTCCTTTGATCTGATGTGTTTTAACGGTGTCTGTTTTTCTGTATAGAGGGGGATCAAATAGCAAAGCTGCAGCATGTTGGCTTGGACCACCTGCTGGAGATGAGTTTCAGAGAGCACCAGCGGAAAACAGCAGGGGATGCGTTAGTTTGTGCCTTGTACTGACACGTTTACGATGCAGAATGTGTATATGTTTGTGTGTCTTAAAAATACATGATTTATGTTGTGTATTGGAGTGTCTATGTATGGTTGTTCAGTTGTTAGGTCTATGATGTCTCATATTGGTGTATATGTGTGTAAGGGTTTACTTTAAAATAATTTGTGAAAAAAATGTCCAAGAAGTTTGCTAAATATTACATAATTTGTCTTTTAGGCATGTCTTGATTTGGAAAAATAGTTTTTTTTTTTTTAGGGTTAGAGTTAAAATGAATGCCAATTATAAGTAGCATAATGTAAAAACAAACAAGAAATCTATGGCATGCCTTCATTAGGTAGCTTAGTAAAACTGTGTGTTTGTGTGTGAATGTGGTTAGCATTACCCCCACCCCCTTCCCGAGACCTCCAATGTTTCTCAGGTGCTAAAATGTGTCGGTTGAGGACCCCACAGTGAGGTATAAATAGGACTCTCTTCCTATGGAGAGACACAGTATTTTATAGGAGCATCAAGTGACTGAGATCCAGCCAGGCACTCTTAGATAGAGAGCCTGGAAGACATCCGCACACAGAAACGCACTAGGCCTCCCTTGTGCCCCCATGCGGAAAGACCCCAGGGGAGAATTCGCCAGCTGAGCCTCAAAAACAAGGTAGGACAACCCAGCTGACTGACAAACTGAATGCTCTCAGCTGTTTTTGTGTATGCATGTCTCAATAGTTCACTTCAGAGCTGATAGCTGGAGAAACCCAGGGTGCAAACACAAGCTGAGAGGGAGAAAAAGAAAAAGAGAGAGAGATAAAAAAGAGAAAATGCCAGCATGTACTCACCATGGGAGTGTTATGGTAAGCCCTTGTTGATTTATTGATCAGGAAAGAGGACCGTTTTGGCTTCTTGCGGATGGGATGAGAGAGGAGTGTCACATCGTGACACAGTTGTTTTGTGAATCTGCAAGGGTTTGACAGCCACTGCTAGTCCGAATGATGTGACTTCTGAGCTAGTCCTGTTTTTTTTTTTTTTGCCTGTTTATGCATATCTTCGTACTCAGTGAGTGACATGGTTGAAACACAGGATAGAGTCTGATTCATAGGGAATGGCTGGCATTACAATTATTCTTCATCCGACTTCAGTCAATGGCTGTGCATCATAAGACTGGACTCTCTCTTTTTCTCTCGAGCACTCCGTTAAATGTCAGCAAGCTCCTCTACGGACTTAAACTCCTGTTTCAGCACAGTAAATGACTATTATAACTGATTGACAGCCCTAGAGGTGTCCATTTAACAAAGGGGGGGAATGAAACAAAAGATGAGGGATAGAAAAAGGGACATGGTGGGTCCCTTAGCGAGAGTGTTAGGAAGGAGAGAAATGAAGTTTTCAGCAGTGGATCGATTTCTGAACGCTTGTCTCATGCATTTTACAGAGGCACTAAATGCCACTTATGGTATAATGCTGTACTCTGGGT